TATGGTAGTGGATGTATGGTAGTGGATGTATGGTAGTGGATGTATGGTAGTGGATGTATGGTAGTGGATGTATGGTAGTGGATGTATGGTAGTGGGATGTATGGTAGTGGATGTATGGTAGTGGATGTATGGTAGTGGATGTATGTGCTGCCTAATGACGACTATTCTCAGCCAACCAATCGTTCACGTAAGCCTTCGCTCAAGTGGGACCATTGGAAGCGCTGCTTAGCGAACTCTAGCGCATCTTACATCACGCGCATCATCGACCATCAGGCTGTCCAACCGCCTTCCTCCGTTCCAGATCCACCACTACCGTGCAAGGCTACACATCTCTTGTGCACTCTCCGACTCCAACCCATCGCTCCGAAAGCTGCGAGAAGCGATGACTTGAGATCTACCTCGACGGTTTCACTCATAATCTCGCGCTTGTCGATAACTTCACCACTTTGAGTCTCGCTTGTGACCTAGTGTCGTCAGCTCCAGCAACTGATATGCGGAAGGCTATGAACATACTTGCACTTTGAACGTGATCTGAAATGAGTTGAGCTGGTACCTGGATTCAGCAATACTGGGCATGTTGTGTGAGATCTAGAGATGGAGGATCTCGGTGAATGATTGAACTCTGGCGGGCGGACTAGAAAAGGCGTCAAGGCGGCCTTTTACACATTCCGCACAGATCCTTTGTTTTGCGAATTAGTGCTTGATGCCGTTCAAACCGCTCACATCATTGACGTGCATCTTTTCTTTCTAACGCGGTGCACGATTCTAAGCACGTTGGTGCATGATTCTAAGCACCTTGCTTGCGGCAAGAGCTCGATTTCGAGTAATTTGGTACAGTGCGTGTGCCCGGGTACCCCCGTTGTAGTTGCAGACGCGTCTGCGGAAGGCGCCATCCCCTGTTGGCTTCTTGTATCAACATTCGTTTCATCATACAGATTGTGGTAGTAGTTGTAGTTTTAGGAACACCGAGAACAGATTGAGCAGCTGATTAGTCTGGTTGCTCGGAAGGTTGAATGTTTTGATCAGAATAGTTCATTGAGAGATTATAGGCTTCTCTACATGCGAGTCATCATGTTGATCCTATTCCTACAATCATCATTGGCCGTGCCGCCTCATTGGGAGGCAAAAGCTGATCGTCGGAGTGCCTGGGCTGCATCAAGAGCTCCCGCATGATTGCTTGCCTGCTCACTGGGTTGACTTCAGGTCGATGGCTCCGCCTGGAGCTCAGCATGTCTCATTCAGTACCTTGGCTAGGGCTAGTAAGGACTCCCGAGATCGCCAACTCCAATGGCCCCTGCAAATGCGGCCTGTGAACACGACATGCAATCTGATAGGTCAACCGCAACGGTAACGCCTTGCAGGTACAACTGTAAGTTAGATGGATGTTTGGCGAGGTCAGCTTTGAGTTAGCAGACTTGATAGACTGCTCTTCTCACGGGGAAGACAATCCCGTCGTCTGGGGGTCTAGATGTCTATATAATGTCTCCTTCCGTGCTTGACAGCCGAACAACATTCGAAGCAGCCAGACCCCGACTGTTCAATCTCTTCCTACACCTCAACTCCACCTTCGTTTGTTCCAATCGCAAAGATTTGCCTCTACTCCACCACAACATGCCTAACAAGCCGGAAAGGGAATCAATTTCTCCCAGGTCACCAGACCGAGCCGGAGAGTTATTGACTTCTTCGCAAATTGCTCCAGAAATGCAGCCTGCCGAGAATAGTGGGCGTTATACAAGCGAACTCCATGGAGGCTACAAGTGCGACTGGAATGATCCTGAGTTAGTCAAGGTATGAGCGCTCATAATCTAGGTGGCCCAAGCTAATCATTGTAGAAACTACAACTGGACATTGAAGGCCAGCCACAGCGGAATGGGCAGAATGGTACGGAACGCCAAAGTTCAGATGATTCAGGCACGGGAAATATGGAGTTTTTGAGCCCACTGGACCCTGACAAGTTAAGAAACTTGGGGTTTCTGTCCTCTGGCCCAGGGGCGGCAACTGAGTCGGCCGTTCAACATGCGGAAGTCACCGGCACCAACGGTGCCATCCCTTCTCAGCGTTCGACCGTCCGCGCTCTCCCTTCTCACGCTGCTGGCACCAGTAGTCCCCGGGCGCAGCCAGCGTACACAAGATCCACATCAATGAACGATACCCCAGTTGGAACAGGCACAGCTCGGAACAACATAGCAGACGCGTCTCGACCTGCTCCTCCTCCCCCACCTCCTCCCACTGCAGTTGACGGCACTCCGGCGAGTATGTCAACTCCACTGGATATTCAGGAAATTTTTTGCTCCAAAACTCTTTGGCCGGACAGCAGTAAGTGAGCTGAGAGTGTTTACATAACATATCCCACAACATTCTTCTGCGACGTGTTCTTCCTGTCGATGGCACCGAGTCTGTGAATGGGCCTGAGGGCCCTGAGGACCCTGGTTGCGAGTAACTTCAGGGTCCGCAGACAGTGATTTCCGGTTAGATTTGAGAATCTAGGGCTACTATCAATCTAAATTGTCCCTTGCTGCAATACTTAACTATGTTAACCTTTTTGCGATGCCGTGTCCCCTTAACTGGCCCATAGCATGATGAGTCGTTGCAGCGGCGGGTGATTGGCTATCCGACATGCCTGCTTAAACTTCGACCGACCGTGCCTTGCGATCATGAACAGACGACCTTGGATCGGTACTGGATTAAATTTTGATTAATAACTGGAATAAACGCTCCTTATGGCGAATTACCTAGGTAACTTTATCCATCATAATACCATACCTGTTCAAACAACCTTTGTCCTGTGCGACAGTAGATGAAGAAAAGTGGGGGTATCGTTGCGAATATCCAGTTGCAGACGGGTAGAGCATTTCACACAATGAGTCACTTTCACAGCTCTTGATTGGCTATTAGAAATGTCTCCTAGGCGTTTGACTGGGTGCCTTCATACACAATCTTGCAATGGATCGATTCAAAGTCAACCAATGACGAAAGATGGTCTCTTAAGGAAGCTCATTACATAGACTATGGTGCTTTAGTACCACATTTCTTCTAGCAATCACTGTCCGCTCCACCGCAGGCCTTGCCCAGAATAGCTACACTGTTGCCAGACACACAAGTCAGTGCCAAGAGCGAGTCAATATATGGAAAAGACTCACCTAGAGACCAGCGCTTTGCGCTGCGTTCGACGCGGACGGTTGTGGTACACAACTGTTAACTCGGAGAAGCCATAAGCTCTAAGCATATTGCCACGAGCCTTTACAGAAGGATATTTGAAGCATGTGCCACATCTCTTGGCTTTGGCTTTGGCCCATTCCGTCGGATGCTGCGCACACGTGCATATGGCGGCTGCTGCATTATGCACGTCGACAAGCTCAATTTGTCCGCCAGGTTGTAAAATGCTGCGAAGATGGCTCAGATACTGTTTCCAGTCGGTAACGGCTCGGTAATTTCGAATGAAGACGTAGTCCCAATCTTTGCGAGGGTACTCGATGATGTCTCCTCCCTCCATCGTACAATTTCGGGGTAAATATGTGGAATAAGGCTCTTCTTCAAGGATCACCACTGTCGAGAGGGGGTTTTCCACGGCTGTTTGGCTTCGTGATGAGTGTTAGCAATAGCTCGACCCTGGCATGGTGAACATACCGTCCCCAGGCTACTGCGCCGCTGCCAGCGCAAAGAATTCTGGCTTCTCCCGGAATACGCCCATCTGTTAACTTATGCCCCGCGAGCCTAAAGAAAGCATAGTTCCTTTTGATCAATACCTTGCCTGGCAGACGACATGTGATGATACTTACTGATTCTCGTCAGCAAGCTCCCGACGCCGCAGTTGCCCAATGTCAAGGCCGTCGGCCATCGACGTCGTGTCCGAATCAGCACAGGATAGTATTGAATTTGTCGTAGTAATAGTCGAAAGAGAGTCACAGCCGTCTCCTCCTATTGACTGACAGAGTGTGCTTCCTCCATAGCTTCGATGAGACCGAAGCGTTGCAACTGGCGGCAGTGGAAGGATACCCTTCTCCGGTCGTTCGTCGGTATGGTCGGTGCGAATCGATGTGTGTGGGCAATAGTTCTCCACGTCTTCCGAGGAGATTTTTGTGCTAGGTAGGAAAGTGGCTGTTAGCAAGTTGCAATATTGTTGCGCGGGCCACAGCGCATTATACTGTCTGATGGCAATCATACTTAAGGCCTAAGCATGGGCCGAATACTGAAGACAGCAAACTTGTCCATATACTAGGTCTTCCAATGTATCCGCCGTTCTTCTATAAGTATTAGCCATCTTCACACCCCAAGTCGGCATAATAAACGACATACGTTAAGAACAGGCTGACTGAAGGCGACATCATATTCGACAAGCGCTTCTTGGTGATGTATATGTGAGCACACTTCCATGATACAGGTACGGTACTCTAAGAGCTGTCGATACTGAGCAAGTCCAAATCCTGTTTCCGCGGCTGACGACCTCGTTCTTATGAGGACATCTCCAGCAACTACACCACAATAGTTGGCTGGAAGAAGGAACCAACGGCATGCTACACCGGCGAATCAACGGCCAGCATGTCGGTCGCAAGTGCGCTCTGGTGCCCATACCTCCTGAGACAACCAAGCCGCGTGCGGGTCATACCAGGGTCGCTCTAAAGTACCTTGTATCTAACTGCTCAAAATGACAGCTCGGTACTTCGTCTTGTGTTCCCACATCCTTTCAGACATCTCCCCGCTCCCACTTCTGACTGCCCATCTGTTCTCCCCTTTCAACATAGGTATGAACCACACCAAGCTTCAGATCGACGCACAACGGGCTTTGCGGTCTCGTGCACCCGATCGCTCGAAGAGGGCAGTTTTCGCGTCAAAGGACGCATTGCACTATCGCTATGAGGGCCAGCAATTCTCCGATGTGAACTTCCCAACATTCATCGATCTTTTTGTTGCGCTTCCGGGTCCGCAGCTCTCGACAGTAGCCAAGATCCCCGAAGTTATTCAACCACGCAGCAGCCCCAGGGCTATTTTCGAGGATGGCTGGTTGCGTCTGTATCGAGATGGCTGGGACACAGATCCTGTCTTGGCTGCCCTGGTTTTGATTGGTTTGTCGACCCAACTCATATTTAATTACGCCATTATTCTAACGAAAGTAGAAGCAGCTCACTGGGTATTGAAGTCGGCGCTCAACGCACTAGAACTACCGCCCTTGGAAGTCATCAAGGCATGCGACGAACATGTCACTTGGGTGAAGGAAGCCTTGTGCAAGCCTCGTTCAGCCGCGACCCAGCCCTCCCCCACGACTCGATCTTCGCATAACACCCACAGAGACCAACGCCGCCCGGAGAAGAGACCATTGAGCGAAATGGACAGCCCAAGTGATGTCGAGAATCCAGAAACGCTAACCCCGGTTCAAGAAAGACACGATGCCTCCGTCACGTGTGGTGGGTTCGTCGACGGTCCATGCTCGCAGGAATATGGGTACATTGATAAGCCTCTTTCCACCATCGATGCAGTCATACAGGCAAATTCATCAAACCTAGATACGCTGGTCACATCCAGAACTTTGGAACCCAATATCAACCCGGCAGTGCTCCAGCCAATCGAGACTGAAGTTAGCGATACGATAACGGACACACTGCCTCCACACGAACCAGGCCAAGAAGGCGACATCCCCTTAGCAAACCAGGCCAATGCTAATGAAAAGCAACCGCCGCGGCCGACTCATGGCGACTCGGAGATAAACACGAAATCGATTGTTGCACCCTCTGGGACCATAAGCACAACATCCTTGGTGACGTGGACAGAAGTCCCTGGTGCTAGTGGCGCTTCCTCCATACTTGATGCGTCACGGACTTTTGAGTTCTGGCCTCCCGAGCTCTGAACAAGTATCAAATCGGTCGCTTTTGCTATCTTCAATAGCCTCTCAATGCTGCCTTGCAACCGCATCGCGCCGATATTCTACAAAGCATCATCAGCACTTATTCGAACACGGAGTAAGGAGCTTACTCTGTCACCTGGTATTCCCATTGCAGCGGTCACCGGATGGCACTTGAGGCCAAGCTGCCAGTCTACGCAAACGTTCGAGCCGGAAACCATTTGGAATCGCGCCGTCGCCAAATATCCTCCAAGTTCTTGCAAAACCTGTACGTCAACAGGCACACCACTTACCTTCAAGTGTTGCGACATGCTGATAGACTATATCGTCACGACGAATGTGTGGATGATGATGGGCAATTCACGATGCTGCGGGGTTCACAACGTAGGTTGCAGGCTTCTGTCGTCATTGGCTTACTCATGATGGCAGCATGGGATCCGCAGGGTAGGTGGAATTGTAGGGTTTGGCAGCTAACTTCCGACCTTGCGAGGCTCTCCTTAACCTACCCTAGAAAATACTGAGCCTATAAACGTCAACTTTCTGACTTTCATCCCAGTTAATTCTGACCTAGATGTCATCACAAAGCGCAATGAGTCCCTCACACGTTTGTGTATCAAAACATCTAGGATACTCAATGCAGAGGAAATCCTGACACGAGACCCTAGCTGCTGCCTGATCACTCTAAAGCTGAAGATGAGGAAGGACCAGCAGAAGGCGGACGAGGCTGAGGATAGTTGCAATCGGTGTTGATGAGGGTCAGTAGTGTAGCGACTGCCGTTTTGCAGTCTCGCTCGGCCTGAGGCCATTACCTCAACATGAGTCTGTCAAAGGCAATATCCTACCAGACCGATTCGTACCTATCGAGGAATAGGATGGAACGTGTTTATAGTCGGCGGCAGGCTCTAGAACGGACGCCATGGCCATGGCCTTCATGCGGACGCATCGTCGCTTCAGTCGTTTTCTCTGGACAGTGCGGTCGCTGAGCCGACGCTTTGGGCTGTCTCGCTAGTCGATAAGCCGATCTTGATCATGGCATCGAATCTGGTTATGCCGAGGAGGGAAACTCGTTTAACATTGGAAACCCGCGACACCCTTTGTGGCCGCTACGATATCAGGCACAAGTCGCGCCAAGATACATCTTTATATCCATCTCAGGCATGTGAGTACCTGACAAAACAGTGCAAATCCACTTGCACCTTGTGTCCTGCGTGCTGGATGGCTCGTGACCGATCGTTAAGCTTTGTGTTGCTGTAGTTCACGAAGAGAGCCCATGAACCGCCGAGCCGTGAGTTGCCGCTATCCCTGCAAAATGGTTGGTGGCGGATGGGCTGACCTGAGGCAGCAGGTGTGGGCGGCTAATAACAGGCCGTGGATCCGCGAACTCGTCTCCACTTCCGCCGCGTGCAGCGCGTAACACCCACCATGACCTACAGCCTTCGGACATAAAAGCGACCTTTTCTATACCTTTCAATCGGCTATCATAAGCGCACGATGGTCGTGTTCCATGACTCTTTCAGTCCCTCGGCCATTCCTACTTCTCGAAAGCGTCGATATTCGCCGCATTCAAGCCCACCGCCCGCTGACGACGCCGCCCACACTTCCTCGAAGAAGCGGAAGATTTGCCATCCCACCTCCCCTCCGCCAGAATTCTGGGACAACTTAACCAGGAAATCCCAGATTCCACTCACTACAAACGCTCTTCAAGAGCTGAACCGAAGGAATACGCAGCGTGAGCGAAGAAACGTCGCTCCTCTGCCACCACTCAGACGGAGCTGTCGTCTGGCTGCCCGACCAGCCGTCATAGAAGAAAACGACCCTCCACTGCCTGTCGACCGATTCCTTAGACGGTGTTCCTTGCGGGGCCTAAAGCAACTGAAGAGATTTGCGTCTCACGGCGGTCCAGACTCGAGAGACTTAAGAGGGGTATGAATACCCAAGACTGTTTATCACAGCTCTGACAGCTAGCAGTATCGCATGCCGACGGGTCTTGGGAACGAGATGAGATCCTCTACCCCATCGAGTCTCGGACGTCGCAAGCGGGGCTCACAGTCACCCGAGAAGAGTAGCGGCACTCCAAACACAACGACTACAAAGAGCACCGGACCGTACGACCGAGCGTATTTGCAGCATCATGTCGACAACGGCTTCTTGCCAGACGGTTACGAATATCCCGACGGTCGAGCTCTCTCAGAAGCGGAGAATATAGAAGAGTTCCGTCAATTCATTTCGCAAGCACGAGCGTCTCTGTCCCCTTCCCGCTTCTCGGGCGATGACTTCCGATGTTTCAAGCGAGCGAACAACCATGCGACAAAAGAAAGACAAGTAATGACGACTGTCATGCCAATTATTGAAGGAGCTGTGGGCGACACAAAATGTGTTGCTGGCGAGATCCCGTTTACGAATCTCGATCATTTGACCGATGGCACTCTTGCCGCAGCAAACCCTGATCGCTATTATGGCGCCCGCCCTGAACAACTTCGTGGAACTGTACGAGCACAATTGAGTGGACGTATCATTCCATCCACACAAGAAGATCTTCCAATAGCCCCGAACTTCTTTGTTGAAGTGAAGGGGCCAGATGGATCGGCAGCCGTGGCCGAACGACAGCTCCTCAACGTTATGGCGCTAGGCGAGAGAGGGCAATGTGATCTTCATTCCTTCAGGTGCTCTAAACCCATGTACAAAAATCAGGCTCACACCATCGGCTGTACTTATCAGGCTGGACAGCTCAAGATGTACGCTACCCACGTGGTTGACCCGTCCGAGCCAGGGGCGCAGCCTGTGTTTGTCATGACGCAAGTCGACTCCTGGAGCTTGACAGGGAATCCCAAGTCTTGTCGCGAAGGTATCGCTGCATATCGGAACGCCAGAGACTGGGCAAAGAAAGAAAGAGATCAGGGAATAGAGCAAGCCAACCACAGAGCAGCCGATCGGAACCTCGGTGTCGCCCATCAATAAGATGACTTGGGATTGAGCGTCTTGAGCGAAGCATCCGCTGCTGAGACGGCAGAGCTGACCAGTCAAACAACGTTAACGAACCACGGGTCCAACGCGCTATCAATCCATGGTTCTGACACCTCTGAAGACGAGCTATCATTGGATCACCGACCGCCGGACAAACGGAATACGGTTCCTGGGAAGATTCTCACCACAAGACCTAACCGTTCGCTACGAGAGTCATAGGATGGACAAGCACGTCCCTCTTCCCATAAGCGATGTGATTGTGGGTAACTTTCAGTTAAATTTGAGACTGGCTAGCCTGGCAGGACAGCAGTTCACACGATCGTCTTACCTGCTTAACATCCTATTCAATTCGCAAAAGATTCCCTTTAGCCCGACCCAGAAGGAACGATATGCCTCCAAGCCATGAACCCAACGACGTATTCGAAAAGTGTCCTACCGATAATCCAAAATTCATTGTCGGTACGAGGCGCGGCACTTCAAGAAGAGGATTGCAGCTTCTGTCAGTCCGATCAGAACACTCCCACTCATCATGGCACAGTCTGTCTTGACCGTCAGACTTTTTGGATACCCCCGAGCAATGCGTACGAGGATTCTTGCAGCGTGAAGCCGCCGCTGCCGCCGGGATCAGCTCTTACGACAGCATCCGTGTGGATTTTCTTCTGACGACGGTTCGGACAGCGATTCGCTCCCATCGATCAGGACGCTTGCAGCATCCGTCACCAACACACAGCGTTCACTTGCAGGAGACGCAGGTCAGAAGAGCCAACAGAAGGCAGTTTTCAGTCGCACAGTAGACTAACTATTTTTCCAGATAATCTTGCTCAGACTTTTGTTTCAGCTGAGCGGACTGCCTCAGCTTGCTTACGAGGCTTGTCTGTCGAACCTGAAGTCGGTCAACCGACAATATCTAGCAGTCTCGCCATTCCACATCGGTCCCGCTACCGCATTATCCACCACAGTTCAACAACCGCCGCCCGCCACTGCGTTCCTTGATGGGAGCGCACCGAGATAGCATCCGGACACGAGCAACCCTGGAGACTTTCGCTGTACTTCAGCCACCAACGCGGTCCTTTAACAACCGGCCTACCTCGAGCTAGACCCTGGCAATGAGTGTGATTCAATTCACGGCTACGAGGCTGTCACTCAATCAACATGACGAAAGCACATCCAGCGGCTGTAGTCTAGGCTGTCTGGACGAACATGAGTCTCTCCGTGCGCAAACTGCGGCGGGGCCCAAAGATGCGGTTGCTTGTCAAATACTTTCCCATCCAGGGGGTGAACAGACTTCTCAGTCAGCGGAGGGCATAGCAGATGGCGCGAGCGGCTTTGTACCTCCTGCTGCCGATGCGCCGCCGGACAGGATTTCTCGCCGTGTGATTGGTGACTCTATTGGATCAGGCTGGCACTACCAGGGCCTGGAGAGGGACGCGATCACAAAGCACACGTGTCCCTACGAAACGGCCCGCGATTCGTCCGCTCGGAAAGACTGCAGGCGATAGATCGGAAGAGTGCCGGACCTGAGCTGCAAATGCCCCTACACTATGACAGTGAGGGGGCAAATGGCCGAGGCCTATTTGCATAGGAAGATGGAGGAACGCTGTGGGAGTTCGTCATGGTTATTGGGGGACCGCATGGTTCCACCACGATCTCGGATATACGCAAGGACTATGATCAAGGGGAAAGGAGGGCGTCGCGAGGAGCCCGTCACAATTGGTCATGTCCCTAAGCCTTCAGGGGTTTTCTTCTGTCGTTCTGCAAGGCAACTACTGACTTGGACCGTCCGCATGAAGATACGTCAGTCTCGACCACTCGACGCGGCCGCGAATAACGCCTGAACGTCATTGGTGCCAGAGCGCCTTCGAAGGTGCCACGAAGCCCAGGATGCTAGAATTCATTCTCCACCCCTGTACCGGCCAGCTCGAAGCTTGGGAGCCAACGCAGATCGAAGCGGCGCTGAAGCCCCTAGGTCAGGCCTAGAAGAGAAATGAGGCTGCCTGTTTGTGAATGGCATTCCGCCTTAGCTCATCTGCGGTTTTCCTACATCTTTCATTCACCACTTCCCGAGATTCCGTTGGATGCACAAGGTTCGTTATTTGAGTTTGTTGTCACTGTAAGTTGTGCGCACTACCGAGGGACATGCACATTTTACGCTTTCACGGAAGACATGGCACTCAACACGCCCTCACCCCTGTCGTGTGAGGCTTGAGATATTTCCTGATGACCCATAAAAGTGGAGAACTTCCGTCCAAATCAAGGAATTGCGATGGCGTCCCCAAGCTTGGACTTCCTCTTCATCTCATCTCATGATGTCCTCGCAACAAAAGTTTCCATCCCCGCCAAAAGAACTGAGGGTCTTTCTTGATAATCTCCCCAAAGATGAGCATGACTGGCAGCATAAGAGGCAGGCCAAAGGTGTCGACACGTGGGAAGGTCTGCGCTCATTCGTTCAGGGGCTCATCCACGGCTCTACCAATGAGCGCGATATACTTAACATCTTCAGGGTGATGCTCTGCATCGTGGACTTGAAAACAGGGCGGAGTATGGCTGAGGTCAACAACATGATGGGGGGTTTCATAAACGAGACAAAACCTTTGAAATTGACAAAATCCGAAGACCATCACCAACGCCTCAGAGCCTCCGCCTTCAAGCTGCTAAAATGTATGCGTCGACTATCCGAGAGGATCGGATATCGCGCATATGAATGCGTTCTACTCCATGGTTTGTTTTCCATGCCAGATACTTCACACGAGCTGACATGGGACAGGCGGCCTTACTTTGACTTCCATGCGAGCGATTCCAGACGTCGACCTCAGTCCTATGTACCCTCGAGCGGGACAAGGGGAAGTCTTGCCACTCTCTCTGTGTCCTTCCAATATCATAAAACTATGGCGACCGGACATTTCGTGCGTTATTCCTTCCGGAAATCCTGCCTGCGCTAACGTCCGATAGCTATAAGGCTATCTGCAAGGCACTGGGAATCACAGTTCCTGAAAGCGATTTTGAGAGATTCTCCTGGGCCCTAGATAATAGGGTCTTATTATATTACGATCCTGTACGAGATGCGAATATTGGAGTCGAAGAGGAAACTAGTACGAACAGCGAATATGACCTTTACGCGGCGTTATTCGACACCAGAGATTGTAAGGCCACCGCGCCATCTGACATCGGTCCCTATGCGAGTTGCCCTACATCGAACATACTGCAGAGCAAACTTTTGGCGGCTGGCGATACCCATGAGATGAGAAAAACGATAAGGAGTCTTATTTCCAACACAGCTGGACTCCTTCGCACGACAAGGCACGCAAACAGGCAACCGCTGAGTTAGTCCGTTGTGGTATTCTGAAAGATGAATACGCTGGAGTCAGGGAGCTAGCGATCCATCACAGGTCTGGCCCAGTGAAGGGGGCAGATGACAAACTCTCTATCCTCATTCCCACTACACGAGAGGTTCACTTGATATTTTTGAGGGGAAGGGGCTTAGATAAGGGGAAGTGGGTTGTATGGACGATTCACTCTATCCTCATCCTCAACGGGAGTATTGTGGTTTGGACGGATACTTGCATGGATTATGTTTGCGTATCAATCTCTGTAGAATAGCTCAAACCTGGGGCTCGGTAAACTTGATTACTTTGTACCCGACATTCACAGCCTCGAAGTTAGGGACATTGGATCATCTGTCCAAGGTTAAGCACTGTGACTTCACAACATACTGGTGTATCTGCTCTTACCATGATCCGTGGGGTCTCCCCCTGAACTGCTTCCATGTGTAGGATCGCCATGCTCCTGAGGAAGACTCTCAGTCTCGCTCTAGTCTTTTCCGTCCTCTCCCTGGACCAAGGGACTCTCGGACCGTTCGGTCGGCATGATTAATGCAGTAAGAATATCGTTGCTGCTATCGTTATTGATCATGAAATATGTAAGAGAGGGCATCATTCCACTTCGAGTCCACCTAGCTCTGCTCAAATGCCACTGCTGGATGGGGGAAAATCGTCCTTTGTCGTCGAATGGCTGCCCGGCTCTTTGCCCTGATCAAATCTCATGCTCACACCTCTTCCATAGTAACAAGCCCGGAGTTGTCGATACAGGCCTCAGTATAGCAGCAACGTAGGAACGCCAGCTAGCACCGCTAGGTTCCAAAGTTGTTTCTCTTCTCGGCCGCCTATCTCGATTAGCTACCACCATCCTTCCCTCTGGAAATGTAACAAGACCTCCAACTATTCGTCATCGAGGAGCCAGAAATACAGTAGCCGACAGACCGGGAAAATCGCATTTATTTCTCATATTTGGCGGATTGAAACGTGATTTGCGTTGTGTATATTCATAGTACCACTCTTTGCGAGCTGTCCGTGTGATGAAGTACGTAGGAGAGAGGGCAGAATTTACCATCGCCGCCCTCTTCAGCTGTATAACTCTTGATATTAGGACATATTGGTGGGCTGGGGCGTTCCTGCCAGCCATCGGCCCCGCAGTCGGTTTGGCACTCATAGTGCGCAATTTGCCACTCGATGTCTCTTGTACTCCAATCGCCTCGTTCCTTCCAGTACATATCCATATGCTCAAAGTAAGTGGCAAGCTTTCCCAGGTCAACTTGTCCACTGCGATCGAACCATTCCTTGATCATAAAACCCCTGCTCCACGGTCTATTATAATTCCATCTATAGGGGCTGGTGTCGAGTTTAAATCGGGATGGGACAAGCTGCGGTAGGTCAAGCATGGCCTCGAGACATGGAACGTGATAGGAATCGCCGAGGCTCATGTCCGTGAGTATCCGGTGACGGAGCGTGGACCCCTGGTAGCCCCTATCGCTTGGCTTTATAAGGCATTCGGATGCATCGCACGGAAGTAGGTTAAATCGTGTTTCTTGGCAGCGTTGAAGAAGGAGTGTCATTGTCAGGTCTTGGTCCAACTGTCTCCGGAGTTGGGCTCCATCCTCTGCAATCTTCTCCTTTGGTGAAAGGCGGCCCCGTCTGCTCTCCTCCGCTTCCATGGCTCCAACCTGGTTGATGTAATGCTCTGGGGGATGCATATTTCCTTCCTAGAGCAGAGAGACGGACCTATCCAGCCCACGGCATTTTTGGTGGCTTCTGAACGACATTGCTTGACAAGGTTTCAATAGGGATGACGGAGATGTAAGGGTCGGCTCAATATTATAATGAAACATCAGCAAACTGGATGCGGCGTCCAGAAGCTGCCTTTTATCCATGCCCGCAAAAGGGGATCGTGTCTTATTCCGGACTAGCCTCACCTGAGTACTGATCGGACAAGCTCTAAGCATCCTCTCGAAACGGTTCAACGGATAGGCCATAAGAGCTACCTTAGAGCAAATCCGCTAAGCAGGCAAGAGACCGTCGCCACAGACACAGCAGAGAGGCCCAGGCACCAACAGGATACCCGAAACCCTACGGAGCCACCCGTGCAAGGCGAGATGGATATCGACGCAACGAATTCGAACACCAACCAGACGATCTATCCGATGAACCAGCTCCGGACAACGCGCAAGATGCCATAGCCCAGCAACCAGAGCAGCCAAGGCCCCAGGATAATCAATCAAGCGGGCCAGGCTGGCTCTCGTCAGACAACGCCGGACCCGTAGCAGGCAGAAGATCAACTACGACGAAAAGAACTACTACAGCAGCCTCGTGAATGCAAGCCCGCAGTCGAGACAGTAGGAAGGGCCCAGCCCGACAACAACAGCAGCCGCTACGGATCGCCCAATGCAACGTCCGCAAAGGGGGCCCTGCGCACACAGCCTTCCAGCTCTGCGCTGAGGGGCATATTGACATTATATTGACACAAAAGCCCTGGTTTAAGACAGGACGTCGGAAGTTCCGTAACTCCCACCCAAGCTATAAAGCCCACCTTTTCTACTTCGTTCCATCTTCACCGATCTAGAAAAATGGGAGTCACGGCCAAGTGAGGCTGACTGCTCCGGCCTGCATAAGCTTTGTTGTCGAGCCCCTCCGCCTTCAAAATAACTGATTTATCGCCGATTACGATTACCTTGGTTTGGCCTGTTATCGCGTTCTAGACTCTTCTCTGGCTGGCAGTATTGTGGATTATTCTGGGTTTCTCGCCTATCTTCCAGCGGGCATGCTGAGTCAAAAGGAAGAAGATTGGAGCGGAATCTCCCGCAAGGTACAAGATGTCAAAAGAATTTCCGAAACTTTACTACGCGATGCCCGCGAGGCACAAGCCGTTGAGTACATCCAAGAACCATTTTACTCACACCAATCCCTGCTCGCCTGGACAGTCTTGGAGTGAGTAGGACGCATACACGTCGGGACAATGATAAGAATAGGGTAGTCATTTCTAGATCGATGCCTGGTCCGCAGCAGGTACGGATACAGCACTCCACCATTCTCGCTACGAGTTTCCCAGGGGATCTCGCTAGGATATCGAGATGAGGTTGGATCAGCCATTGCTGGCCGCGTTCTTCCAGTTTACGCACACGAGAGAAAGAGACTAGATTCGACGGGGTGTGATGGCTCTGGCGGTGCTCTTGGGCCGGGCAACCTCGCTATCTGGCAGCCACGGTAGATCATGACCGACGGCTAGGCCCGAGAGGGGAGAGGGTGTCCGTCTTCACCGCGACCCTCGGCTAGGACAGCCCTGGCGCTATTCCAGGGCAGCTGCAGCCACCGTGGATTCTGAGAGACAATGAGAGATGAGAGGGTGAGGTGGCCCTGCCAATATTGTGGACACCGGGCTGGGTGTCCTTGTCGTGTGGCAGCCACAGTGGAGGACTAGAGTTGAGAGGGTGTGATGACCCTGCCATCGCGGTGGACACTTTGCCTGGATGTGACTGCTGTGTGGCAGCCACAATAAGAGACTAGAATGAAGATGGTGTGATGGCCCCGCCACTTCTGTGGGCACTTGCCTGGGTAGTCCATGGAGTGTGGCAGCCACAATGGAAGATTAGAGTCGAGAGGGTGTGACGGCCCCGCCAATATGGTGGACACTCGCCTGGGGGCCCTTGTCGTGTGGCAACCACATTGAAAGACTAAAATTAAGTGGGTGTGTCTGACCCCGCCACTTCTGTGGTGGGGGCCTTGGAGTGTGGCAGCCACAATAAGAGTCTAGAGCTGGGAGGGTGTGATGGCCCTGGCAACGCTATGGACACCTGCCTGGGGCTCCCACTTCGGGCCAGGCTACAATTGATCGACGACTTGCCGTGTGGCAGCCATCCCATTGTATTCCCGAACGCGGTTGCAGAGGTCCTTTAAAAGACGCCGGTGATAGTCGGCTTCCACGTCTACGAAGAGTTCGTCGTGGGGGTTAGAAAGGACTTCGCCAAGTGCGGACTCGACCATGGCGAGCATATAGGATGGGGCTTTAGCATGGCGGAAGATCTCAACGGCCATGTGAGGGACAGCCTCCGCCCAGCGCTTGGCTTGATCGATAGTGGCGGACGTCGACTGGAGGATGGCGACCAAGGATACGTACAAGTTGTTTGTCTCCGTCTCGCCTTGGCGCTTGCCGAGAATGCGTAGGACGTGTTCGTAGACACGCATGCAGATGACAATGTTCACAGCGTCGAGAACGTCATTGCGAATGCGTAGCAGCCTGTCCTTGTCGTAGTGGAAGGTTTCGGGCGGAATCGCATCTTCTTCCTGCGCGCGAGAAGGTCGCACGAGGCGCGCAACGGCACGGAAAAAGATGGACATGTCGCCAAAGCCTTTAGTGGACTCATGGGCGTACTTGAGCTGTGCGCGACGATACCATAACTTTGACCGTCCTATGTCCAGCCTGCATGTTGCAATCTCCTTGCTGACTCTGCGCTGCTCGTAATGAACCGTCTCCGTGATGAAAGCAGGCCGCATCCAGCGAAGATAGTGGTTGGCCAAGTCCAGTTTCATATGCTCGAGCACACTCAAAAGCTCGCACATACCCATGACCAGTTGTTCCACGTTGCCTTCGCGACTTCCAATGCGGAAACGTGCCAACATGTTGTTAACCTCCCCGTCACGCATGGGGGCACAATGCGTCTTAAGCACACCTGATAACCACTCGGCCATTCCTTCCAGATTCAGCATGCCTTTGTAGAATTGCTGCATCAGCAAGTTTACATTCAGTGCCTCCTCCATGAGACTGCGGTCTTGCCCCGGCACGAGCGTCTCCACAATCTCCTTGATGGTCTGCAAGAGCAGGGGCAGACACCACTCATCGCTGTGCGCATAGCGCTCCATAAACTCGGACCGTCTGTTCTCGTCGACAAACATGTTCAGCTGTTCTGTCAGAGTCCTCCAAAACGCCCGCGAGTGCTCCTGCTTTGTCTTCCCCCTATCGCCCAGGATGTTGGGTCGAAAATGCAAATCGGGGTCGAAGTTGATGTCATGGCGCAGTTTCGCGTTTCGTATAATGCGCGCCACGTCGAGGTCCGATAGAGTGGCTTTGGTGATGGGCGGTCCAATGAGGAAACTTATTCTCAGAATCGATCTGCCAGTACTTCTTTTGGCGTTGTTCGACTCCTTGATTTCCGCAGGTCGTGCTCCGGAATTTGACGACTCTGTGGATATTCGTTCCGCTTGTAGGGTATGAGACGAGCCAGCTCCTATGGGTTTGGTCTTGCTCGGGGATGAATTAAGTCTGCTTGACTGGAAGACTGGTGTGGAAACGGCCGCTGTGCTGGCTGACGAGCTCATGGACGGGTTTGCCACGTCGTCCGAGTTTGCTCGAGGGAAGTTCACACCCGATGTGTCTGTCTCAACGCCCTTTAGGGGTACTGTTTCTTCGTGTACCGAGCCAATCCGTTGGGGTTCTGTGTTTTGACTTGCCGCGTCTGCGTCTGTGGTACTAGCAGATGGAGTGTGTCGCTTTGAATGCCGGTCGCCTGGACATCGTCCTTGATCAAGCCCCATATTGCCTTTGTTTACTGTGCGACACGTACTCGTCGGTGTAGTTGCCAGAAAGTGGCGTGGAGGCCAGGCAAACGTCTGCGAGCCAAAAGCAGCTTGCGTAAAGGGTGATATGTAGCGCGAAGCAGTTCGTAGAGGAATAGTGCCCAGTAACAAATGACAGGACGATGAGAGACGGAACAAGAGGTTGGTATGTACTACGCTGAGGCGAGAAAAAATCGCTCCAGAAAAGATAGCAGCACAGTATGGGGGGAAATTGATGAGGGAAGGGGAGGGAAAGGGGCCAAGAGGGATCCATTCAGCAATACCATGCAAAGCGCGATTATGCCCGTAGCGACTACTTCCGCTA